GGGCTGCCTAAGAATCTCTATCCACGTTAAGGCACGGTTGATGCATCCTTACCTCGGGTTAATCATATCTCGATTCCCAGGAGTTTCTCTACCGATAATCGTTGAACCCCCTCGAAGTAATATCGAATATCGCATGGGACACAACCATTACCGGGTCAGTTGCGGTATACAGCTGTCCAATTGTTGAGGATATCAGTATTACCGGAAACTACTGAACTGTTGAATTCTTGCGAAATTATTCTCCGGAACTTTAAATATTGATTTTTCGCAACATTGCCATTTGGGACATTTTTCCAAAAGACCGCGTTACAGCCCTGACTGCCAGTTGCACTTTGTTTGTGCTAAGGCATTTGTCTTTGACCAAGGTCATTTAAGAGGTATATATTCGCCCTAGACCACAGCCACCTGCCTTTGGTGGGCACCGTCAGGAGCGGTTTTTGTGGTGGTGCGTCCCAGTGGTTGTTTTTGGGGTCGCAGTGAAGGTATTTTCACCTATACTCACATCGTGGATAACAGTTGATCCTACCCGTTCATACGTTACGCTGACGCTGCGGCCGTACAAATCAGGTAAAATATAGGCCTTATCAGACACTGATTTTGAAGTAATTTCGATCGTGCTAAGTAATGAGCGGGCGATCGCGGTCGGAGTGTGCGGAATTTAAATCCGACCTTTTCTGACTAGCCCTCCATGAGAAGAGATCAAAATATATTGCAGCGATATCGCTGCTTCCGTAAATTTGTACACACTGGTCACTTGAAGGAAACATCTTGATGCCATCGAACTCTTAAGACAGAGAACAGCATGGCTTTATCTCCAGACGGTATTTGCAATGTAGATATCGATGTGCAATACGATAGTTCGCAGTACACGGACTCGCTGTTCTTCATTGGGATGCTCCTATCCGCCTCCTTGGCATGATTGAGCCTTGAGAAACTGAGCTTCGGCCAGTATAACCCGCAAGATCATTGTAGCACTGAAACCCAACCACAGAGGCTAGGTGAAAGCCTAATCTAGATTTATTTTGGGAAGCTGACCCTTCCGATGCACAAAATTTGGTTCTGGTCATGTGTTTGAAAATTCGCTTTTTTTTACACCCTCGCAAGTCATCAAGAGTCATGTTTGTCCATCGTTTTCGGAGAATTACCATAACCCAAAGGTACTGATACCCCAATTACTCCCTCCAATGAACCAACACAGTTCTACTGGCAGGTACTTAGGTGGATCACGATAGAATGAGAAATGCACTATACCGGCTGCGTTCGAAGCTGCCTGTCCGATCAAATTACCATTGAATATTGTAAAAATCGCAAGCTCTTGTTGACGCTAGGCGATTCGCACCAGGAGACAAGTAAGAGGCGCACGCAAATTTCTCAAACGTCAAACAGTGAGGAGTCTAAATAAAGACCGAAAGCCCGTGTGGACAATGAAAGCTCAGTGAATGAAGACCTTTCTCACTAGGAACATCCATACCATACGCGACTTAATTCAATCGACTGGCCGAGGGAATATAACTATCGGTGAAATCAGAGACGAAAGGTCTTCTTCATGATTTCGGAAACCGTCATTTGGAAAGGTAGTTCGGTATAGGCCCGACAGATTTCAGTCCTCCAATTGAGAAGGACGGGTTTCATCAACTGGTTCGGTCAGCAAGGAGGAATGACATAATAATCCTGGCGGAAGATACGAATGCCCAATTTGGACGACTAAGTCCGGAAAAATCACTCTTAGGTGGTATATTTGGAGTCGATGTTAAGCGTACGGATAATGGGGAACGACAGCTTCAGTTGTGTGCAGAATATAGTCGTCTTGGTCAGTACAAACTCGACACAAACACTCAAGTCGGGTTACTTGGAGGAAAGGCAAAATGGCTCAAGTGGTTAGAGCGCGAATTTACTGACCGGAAGGTCCGTGGTTCTAACCCGACCTCTGCCCCTTGTCTAGGCTTGAACAACCTGGTAGTATCGCGGCCCTCACCCTTTTTTCGGGTGGAATGGCAGTTAGTCACCGGAAGGGTGTTACAGCTGAAAGTTACTTGGGGACAACCAACCGCAAGACAGCGAAGAACTCATTTGGATAATGTGGATATCAATTACCGATGGAAAGACTCAAGGATTTCCGTTCCCCCTGATTCTGATAGTGACATTATGTGAGCCCGGTTATGTTACGGTTCGATCACGCTGCGAGC